CCATTATTTCCAGGGACAGCAGAGGAAATTTAGGAAGATGCAGAAACATAAAAGTTACCTCTTTTATTTCTAAAAGAAGTATTGGTTGGGCAGTAAATGTAATCCACAGGAAAAGGATTGAGGTTTACGCCTTAAAGAGGCTAAGAAATTGACAATGTGCCCCAGCAAAAAACTGTGCAGCTATAAGAAAAGATAGCTCACAGTTGCTATTAAAAACAAAAACAAAGTACCAACTGGCAAAAACCCTGCAATGCCCTGCTTCACTCTTCTGTTTGGAGATGAGGAAGTGAGGTGGAAGGAGATGGGAGGAAGGACAGCTCTGGGGCTCACACTTAATTTTTGTTTTATTTTAAAATCACCTACTTCTTCCTTCTACTGTACCTTCCTTCAAAGATTGTAAAGATAGTCATCACTATTTCCGTTATCTTCAGAAATTCTTGAAATGGAGACAGATTTAAAAAAAAGCAGCAGCTACTTGGAAATTAGGCGATTTGCCTGAGGGCACATAGCTAAACAAGTGATTCATAAACATTCTCTGGCTGACTCTTGAATAAATCTTGTTCCAGACCCTGAGTCCTCTACTGTATAGGTTTTCAAGCAGAATATCCAAGGCAGGGGGAGTAACGACAGCTCAAGAAAGTCTTGAGTTTTTCATAAACCAGGCCCAGGCTACCCACATACATCCTGACCAAGCTGAGCTTCTTGGGCTCAGTACTATCCTGGGCTGTTGGAAAAATATTGTGACTTAACAATAAAGCAAAACCAAGGTTGTGGGGAAAGAGGCTGGTTGAGGATTGGAGGCCAAGCTAGTCTAGGCCTTGGGATTCAAAACGGAGCACAACAATTATTCTGGCCCTCCCTAAAAACTATCCTGCAACCCATCTCCTTCCAAATTCTTGTATTTCTCCTCCTTATGTATCCCTCCATTCTCCACATACCCCTTCACAAGAATAATTCTACTACAAAACATTCTTCCTGTGTGGTTTTCTTCCTTTTTGCTTTCAAGCAACAAATTTAGTGGCAATAAAGTCTTCGCAGGAATAACTTGTCCTTGTCTCGGAAAAGGTTAAAGGTACATAGCCACTATGCAATTACAGTGCAGCACTAAGCAGGACTGCTCCTTCTCGCCAGCCCAGCTGCCTAACCTTAACCGTTTCCCTCCTACACTCCCTAGATGCACTCCCAAGGCATCTCCAATTCTGTAATGAGATAAGAGTAGTTTGAGCTGGGACCACAGCACAGTGTGATCCTCCTTTCCCGGGAATCCACATGATAACATTCCAGATTTGAAACTTGAAAGGCAATAATTTCTTTTTTTTAAATAATTTTTATTGTTATGTTAATCACCATACATTACATCATTAGTTTTTGATGTAGTGTTCCATGATTCATTGTTTGTGCATAACACCAGCGCTCCATTCAGTACGTGCCCTCTTTAATACCCATCACCAGGCTAACCCATCCCCCCACCCCCCTCCCCTCTAGAACCCTCAGTTTGTTTTTCAGAGTCCATCGTCTCTCATGGTTCGTCTCCCCCTCCGACTTACCCCGAAAGGCAATAATTTCTAAATGAAATCTGCAAATCATCTTTTTGATGATCTTAGAAATAGACAAAAATTGTATGACTTTCTACTTTTATACAAAGTAGCCCTTTTAAGTTAATATAGCCAACAAATAATTAAGCATCTCTTATGTTCCAGGCATTGTAATAGAAGGAATGGTCAAAGGAGGTATTTTAGGAGATTTAGATTGTAATCAGCTATGCCACTTATTAGTCACTTGTGTCATGTCTGAGGATGAGCAAATCAAATACTGATAATGGCTGCACAAGGATCCAGATACTCATATAATAATCTTCCTTCCATTCTAAAACAAAAGGACTTGTTCTTTTTTTTTCTTTTTAAAGATTTTATTTATTTATTTGACAGAGAGACAGAGAGAGAGCACAAGTAGGCAGAGCGGCAGGCAGAGGGAGAGAGAGAAGCAGGCTCCCACCAAGGAGGGAGCCTGACGCGGGGCTCGATCCCAGGACCCTGGGATCATGACCCGAGCGAAGGCAACCGCTTCCACCCAGGCGCCCCTAAAAGGAGTTACTCTATTCAGGGACAATGGCATCCTAAGTAACTCATAGGGATATGTGTGTGACTATCACAACTGGATGCGAACTTTAATAAAAACCATTAAGTACTATGGCTTCAATCAATTTGTTTCAGAAAAGCAAAGAAGAATTCAGTCAAATGACATAATCAGATTTAGCCATTTTACCTGAAAAAATTTGGGCTTTATCAACTCCATCAGGCACCCAGAAAAGTATCTGGGGCAACATTGGATAGGTACTATCCCAAGTGATCAGATCTTTGATTCATAAACAAGATGTGGCTCAATAATCAAAACGGAGAATTGGGTTCACTCAAGTATCTAGAGCTTAAACTAATTCCATTTAACAGGCTTAACAACATGCAACACACACTGTCCAGTTGGCAGAAACACCTCTCAATGACAAAGACAGGTAGCAAATACTAAACACCTCCGTAGACCATTCAGCAATTGGTGGGCTACAGCTAATCCTTGAAGGTGAATTCAGAATCAAATCAAACCTCAATACAGATTTGTTTCTCAGGGAAGTATGGATTCCACTGCATTCCAGGTTCAGATCAAAACTAGAAGTGGTGCTGTATTAAGAACACTTGCCCAGAACCTACAAGGAAGTTATGTGGAAGAAGGAGATGGAAAGCTGTTTAAAGCTAAGATTTAAATTGCATAAGTTGTTTTCTTTACTAAAATCAGCCCCATAGAGAAATACAGTCTGATGTGGGCCGTGCTTATGTTGCTTTTCCCTCCAGGGATTCATCCTTGTTTTTGCAGAAAGAGGATTACAGTTCAAGTCATCTGAAAGCCTTCCAGGAAACGAATATTCCAAAGGGAAGGCTTCATAGGAAGAACGAAAGAGAAGGAAGTTACTTCTGTGTCTTTGGTAATGTTGATCCAAACCAGTTTTCATTACCTCTTAATGGTTAAGAACCCTCAAATACAGCAAACTGATTCACAGTAAGGTAACAAATTGAAATAAACATCTTATTTAGTTTTTTTATCTGTCTCTAAATCTTTCATTAGGGAATTTACTAGGACACCATTGTCACATATCATCCCCATTTCTATTTTCTTCCTTATACTCTAGACCTATAGCAGTGGAGGTAATGGCTTAATTTAGATGTATAGGAATTATCCGAATTTATACCATAGTAGCAAACATTCTAATATCTTTTAAGCATTTTATAATACACTGTGTCCTTCTGCTTCATATTTCTCCAATTGGACTTCAAAGCTTGAGCCTACTTTTTTTTTTTTTAAGACTTATTTATTTGTTTTAGAGAGAAAGAGAGGGAGGGCACAAGCGGGAAGGGCAGAGAGAGGGAAAGAGAATCTCAAGCAGACTAGCCGCTGAAGGTGGAGGCCGATGTGGGGCTCGATCTCAAGACCCTGAGATCATGACCTGAGCTGAAACCAAGAGTCAGATACTTAATCGACTGCATCACCTAGGCGCCCTGAGTCTACTTTTGAGCATGTTTTTCTTGTAACCTCCAGAGTGCCCAGCACTAGGATAGGCACATACCAATTAGATGACAGATCTTTTTTTTTTTGGACAAGCCAGGCCTTAACTGTTCTATACCAAAATAAACACATTCTGAATGCCAATCTTGTCTAAGGCATTACTCGTCAAAAGATTCACAGAAATACCTGATCTACCACACACAATAGCAGGCCTTTTATCCTTCCCAGCCTAATCCATTTTACCAGTTAAGAACTACCCTGATACTGAGACTCTCTTTCTTTCCCTAGATTATCTAAGTACCATCTGTTTAATGAAATGCCTTTAATTCTATAAATCAAATGAGAACATTTGTGAAAGTAATTTAATCACACTTGAAACACAGTACAAGATGATGTTACCATATGGCCCAATCATAAATATGGCTTCCCCCCATAACTACCTATACATCATAACCAGAGAACCGGATTCCAAAATAGCGTGAAGAAAACTCTAAATTTTAAGCCCAGAAAGCAGAATTTTATTCCTTTGCGTTGCTGACTCTTCTTACCAGTTTTCTGTGAAATCATCCACAAATACAATCTTCAGCAACTACCTTAAAGAAAACTGCTCACCCCTGCTGTTTTAGATGAAACTAATATTCAAAGCACTCCTGACTTGCCTTCAATCCCACACTTCTCCCCAACCTCATTCTTCCCCAACTCCCCAGCCCCACTCTCATCACATACACCCTCAAAGCACTTTGAGCTCAATCATAACCATCGGTGCCTCTGCTCAAGCCTTTCTTCCTCCCGGGAATACTCTTTCAGTCCTGGCCAATTAGATCGACCGCCCCACTTTAAGTGGTTGCTCAAAACTCATTTCCCTATGGAAGTGTTCTCCGATCTCTCTCACAGTTTAAACATTTACCGGACATGCCATGTGCCAGACACTTTTTACGTAATTTTGCATAGGTCAAGTCATTTCTAATGTCTTATCTTGCCAATCTTTGGTGTCAGCTCTGATGTCCTCTACCCAGCCCCGGTCACAGCCTCACTGGGACCCTGCGACACTTGAACGCGGTCAGAGGGATCACCTTCGACGTCTCCTGGCCCACTATTTTCAGCAATTTGATATCCTGATTGAACTGCAGTCCCGTAGCAAGCATTCTTGGTGAAACAGAGCCCGGGGCCGGGGGGCGGGGGGGCAGGATTCCAGAGAAATCCTGGCTCCAGAAGTCAGCTCAGTGAAGCAGAGAATGGAGCTGGGGACTAAACGTGGTGGCGGGGGGGATGGGGGTGGGTCTGAGATGACAGCTGGACACAGGGCGCAGGAGGAAGTGGAGACCAGAGGGTTGTGACCAGACAGGGTTGGGCAGAAGCCAGAAGAAGGGCGTCTCAGGAGGTTTGGGGAGGCGCCCCCGGGCAGGCTCTCTCGGAGCCGGAAACGAGGCGGGGCAGGTCCGACTCACTTGCGGGCTCAGGAGGCTGCCAAGGGCGGGAGGTGAAGAGGAGGTCGCGGTAGCGCTGGAAGGCCTCGTCGAGGACGGAGCAGCCCGGCTGCGCGGCCGAACTGACGTGGTACTGGAACTGGAAGTTGTGCGGGAAGATGGCGTAGTGGGACTCGGAGGTTTGGATGTACTGGGGCCAGGGCCAGAGGGCCGCGGCCCGGCCGGCGAGCGCTGCCGCCAGCAGCAGCGAAAACCAGAGCCCCGAGCCCGCCATGGCTCGCCGCTCTCCTCGCTCCCGGCCGGCGGGGCCACGTGAGCCCCCGGTCAGCTGAGCGGCGCCCGCGTGACTACCGGCGGGCCACGTGACCGGCCGGCTCCTCGGCAGCGACCCCGCACGACCCGCCCCGGGCCCCTCCGGCCGCCTAGACCGAGACGCGGTGCGAGCGCCGGGCGGCGGGGGGCGGGCGGCGAGCGGGAACGGACATGTTCCCCAGCCCGAAGGGCGAACGAGCTGGAGGACGTCCCGGGCTCAGGGAACTTCAGAAGCGGGAAAATGGGAGGATGCAAACCACTGGTGGTTTTAATGGAAAACTCTGTGGGGCGGAAGGGGCTGGAATCGGGTAGTCTGGTTCTTCTAAAGAGAGATCACAAGAATGAGATGTATTTATGACTGGAAAAAATCTGTACTTTCAGAGCTAGCTGGAGGCATCCCGTTTCCTGCCTCGGGCGTGGGCTCTTTCCTCGATGGTTGATAATCTCTTAGGAAGTGCCCCCCAGGTCCCTGCCCCCCAAACAAAACTCCACGAACTGGGGTATATACTTACTGCGAGCATTAAGACAGTGCTTAGACTTTGGGTGCAAGATGGAGAATACCCGGAAATCAGACAGGCCCCTTCAGGGGCTTACATAGCAAGCCCCAGAGTCAGCAGTTTATTCCGTGGGCTGGACAAGTGAAAAATCATGCCAAAGGCTTGCATTTTACAAACCTCACGTCGGATAGTTGGATGGATAAACCAGTTAGGGGGCCCTTGTTTATTGGGGATGGGAGATAATGAGAGCTTACCCAGAGCAGTGGGGAAGGAAGAGGACCGCGGATCCAGGAAATAGTGGGTATCCAGAAGCAGAGGGACTGCTACAGGAACAGTAGGTCAAAGTACGATTTCAGGACTGAGCATGTGCCAGGGCACCCCTTTAGGTGATATTCAGCGTGTACCAAGGGAGAAGAGTCATTTACTTAAGTTACAAAATAAAGGAGCTGGACTCTGAATAAACACTGTAAAAACTACTAATGAAAATACAGAGAGTCTTGTTGAGAGAATATTTCAAACGTATTATTCCAATTATCCTCTCTCTCACCACTATATTAGACAATCAGAAAAGTAATGAACAACTATTAGAAGTTCAACAACAACAACAAAACAACATTAGGGGCGCCTGGGTGGCTCAGTTGGTTAAGCATCTGCCTTCAGCTCAGGTCATGATCCCAGGGTCCTGGGATCCAGCCCGGCCATGGCTCCATGCTCAGCTGGGAGCCTGCTTCTCCTTCTCCTCCCCGCTCATTCTCTCTCTTGCTATCTCTGTCTCTCTCTCAAATAAATAAACACGATCTTAAAAAAAAACCATCATAATCCATCTAAATATTTAGAGACCAGCATAGAGATAGTAGCAAAAGTAAATTAAACAGTTATTTAACAGTATGGATTCTTTAAATTAGTCTATATTGACTCCAACATTGCCATCAATTTTAACAGATGAATAACAAGAATAATGACACAGATAATATAGTATATGATATTTGGTTGTTTTCTTAATTTTCCCTTTATTAAAGAGCTTGTTAAATGAATAAAACATGATTTAATTTCATATCTATGGCTTCTTATAAAATTAGTTTACGTATCAGAAAAAGACATATCAGACGTGTCCAGATTTTTAGTTCATTCAGTCATCACTGTAGAAGCAGAGAGGAGGGAATGACTAATTTTGCCTGGGGAAGTCTTTCTCAAAGGAGGTGACTTTTGAGTTGGCTCCTAAAGCATGAGTTAGCCAAGCAGGAAGGGGAGCACGGGCAAAGCACAGAGGAGTGAAAAAAGATGGCATATAGGTTTTTGAAAGTTGTCATTAAGCCACTCCCTTTTACAAAAGACCTACATCAGTACCTGTTTTCACTAACCTAAAGAAATCTGGAGGATTTTTGTTTTTCCAAAAATAATAATAATAATAATAATAAATAAATAAAGCGAAAAGAGTGTTGTTCAGCATTTGTCTTGCAGCCAGCCATTATAGAGGCAGTGCGCGTCCCAAGCAGCAAGAGTGGCCTCATCAAGCTCCTTCCCTGGGAACCATCCTCAGCTGCCATAGCTTTAAACTGTGTCTGTGAAGATCTGTTTTATCTCAGTTTATTTTGTGCATCCATTAGCAAGATGTGTCCTAAGGTATCAGAAAAGCCTAAGAGAGGTTGTTTTTTGGGTCTGGGAATGCTCAAAAATTTTCCATATAAATGAATGGTAATTGCTTCACCTTTGCACTATTTTGATTTATGAAAGGTGTCATAGGAATGCTCTACTTTTAGATAGTGAGGAATCTGTATTGAGCATAGGGTTTTTGGGGATAGCAAAAGGAGATGTGCCTTGATTATCTCACTTTTACCATACTCTTCTCCTTGGAATGCCTTTCCTACCTCCCACTCCCACTCCACCTCCTTGAAGGTCTTAACATTTATTTTACCCCCCTGTAAATCTCTGACTTCTCAGACCTGGGTAAAGTCCTATAACCCTTTGATTTTACCTCCAGTAGAGCACTTATGTCATAGTATTGTAATTGCTTGCCCATTTGTCTGTCTTCCACACTAGAGTAAAATCTCCTTAAGCACAGGTTCTGTGTTCACTGTTGTATTCCTAGCCCCAGGCACAGTGTCTGGCACATAGTAGATGCTCAATAAAGACTTGTTAAATGAACACCTACAGGGCTCTGAATATGTGTTCTCTAATTTAGCATCTACTTATCCTTCAGGCCTTAGCCTAGACCAGACCAACAATTATGCTGTGAATGGGGCACAAGTGTGCTGAGACAGTGATCCTCTCAGTCCTTAGGTTGGCCAGGCAGAGCCTGGGACAGCTAGACCTTCTAGCCAGTCACCTCCAGCCAAGAGCAATCTCCTGTATGTGCTATGAGAAACTTTGAGAAGCACTTAGGCATTTCTTCCTTTTGGGTACTTCTTTATGACACCCTCACTTTAGCTTCTTGTTTGTGTCTGCCACAGACCACATGCTGAGTGAATGGTGTCTTTTTCACAGTTGAATCCTTACTGCCTGAGCCGGGACTCTGCACATAGTTAAGTGTTCAACCAGAATTTTTCACAAGAATGCATGAATGAGGGAGCATTTGTATTAAAATTTTAAAGACAGAATATCAATGTGTAGACAAAAAGCAGTTCATGAAGGAGGACTACAAATTTGAAGGAGAACTTCATCTAACTTGTTTGGTTTAGGATCCAGCAGGCCCTAGAACGGTGTCTGGTGCAGAGATATTTAATGAATAATTTTGAAAGAATAGAATGAAATGGCACCGAACCTAGGCAGAGATCTCCGAAGAATCTGGAGTAATATCGGGGAGGTAAGAATTCTGTTGGTCTAGAATCAATAGTGTATGAAGAGGAATACTGATAAAGATGTTAGTTTCCCCTTTACCATCGTTTGATTAAGGCTTTTGCCTACTTTAAGCTTTCATCTCTCATGGGAAAATATCAGCAATTCTATCCAGCGTTAGGGCAACAGCCTCTGATGTTGGGATTTTTAGACCAAAAAAGGGCTAGTTTCTAAAGGTAAGACCGTTGTGTGGTGTTTAAGGCCCTTTCAGTGGGGACCTCTTTTGCTTAAACTACATCCTGCTCCAAGAAACCTGATGGCTGCTCTGGATTAGGATTATCTTGGCTCCAGTCTGATCTCTTAAGCCTTCTGCCTAGTGCCTCAGTGGTTATAAATGCTCATGCTAGCCAAACCCACAGATGTAATCTGCAGCTCCCTTCAGGGAGTGGGGTATTGATGAAACCTTAAACTGATTATGTAAGTCCCTTATGGAAAATAATTTACCCCCTTTGCCCACTGGAATTCCCCAATCAGTCCTAAAAGATTTATCACTCATTTCCTTGCCTTCTTACCATTCTCCTCCTGCTTGGGTCCTCCATGTCTTATTTTCCTTCCTTGACTAATAGCCATGATATAGCCTCCAAGAAACCTAGAGCACAGATCCCTTCAACATCTCTGTTCCTTGGCCATCTACTAACATTTGACTTCAGAAAACATTACTGGTATGTTGCTGTGATTCAGGTTTCCAAAATGTCCAATTTCACCGATTCTACGGGTAGACTTCTTTGTCATAAGAGCACGGTTAAGAGGTCTTCTGTTGGGAGGGCTTTTTGGATCTTCTCTTAGATTTCTCTTAGATTTTTTTCTGTATCGGAATTGATTATCCTTCTTAGAATTTTTCTGCCATGTGGATGGCACAGAAAATGCCCTGGGGCTTCCTCCCACTTGAGAGAGAAATGGGGAGATGAGTCAGGAGGTGTCCAGAAGAAAGGGAGGAGCACGATGCATATGTAGGCTAGGCAGGAGTCCCTGTGGCGCCAGGGTAGTAATGCCTAGCTTACCCGTATAGAGTATTCATTCAAGATCTGGATCAAGGCCCCAGCTATAGCGTTCCTTGGCCTGGAGTATCCTCAGCATGTCTCTTCCATAGGGACCTGACAGGGTTATTACCACATTAGGCAGTTGGTCAAAATTCAGTGGTTTGAATATTCTGCTCCTGGCCTCATACAATCATGAGTAGATCAAGCATTCATGAAATTCCATAGAGTTAGGTTCAGCTTCTAACAAAGATTTAGGGAGAAACAATACACTACTGAACTCAAATCAATATATGCTATTTGAAGGAAATATATAGGGGTGCCTGGTTGGCTCAGTCAGTTAAGCATCGACCTTTGGCTCGAGTCATGATCTCGGGGTCCTGGGATTGAGCCCTGCACCGGGCTCCCTGCTCAGCTGGAAGTCAGCTTCTCCCTCTCCCTCTGCCTCTGCCCCCCACTCGCGCTTTCTCTCTTTCTCTCAAGTAAATAAAATCTTTTTTAAAATGAAAAAAAATTATATATATATATGTTGTTTGTAATGTATGTTTGAGAACTGTTTAATCCTCTATTGTAAACTTTTGCTTGAATTAAAACAATAACAAACCAACCTCTTTGCCCCACCCCAAAGGGGTACAGAGGTCTAGGAGGAAATTCTGAGAGGC